CTTTCTCTCTCTTTCTCTCTCTCTCTCTCTCTTTTTTCTCTCTCTCTCTCTCTTTTCTCTCTCTCTCTCTTTTCTCTCTCTCTCTCTCTTTTCTCTCTCTCTCTCTTTTCTCTCTCTCTCTCTCTTTTTTTTCTCTCTCTCTCTCTCTCTCTTCTCTCACTCTCTCCTTCAGCTTCACGAACCGCTCCCGCGTGCGACGCCACCTCGTGATAATATATATTTTTTTTTTCGTTTCTTTCCGGCGTTTCTTTAAAGTGTCGGCCTGGAAAATAGGGCGTCTCTGATAGGCCTTTTTAAGAGTCCGCGTGTTTAAGTATCCAAGTTAGGTTTTTTAGGGGAAAGGGCCCCAGGGAATTTTTCTTCTCTTCAAGCAAACGATCCACAACAGCTCTGGCACATACTCTGCAGCGATTCATTTTTGCTGATTCGTATTCAAAGTATGTCGTTCAGATGTAAGGAAGATCTAAGGCCTTGGTGAGGCTTTCTTTCTAAACACCTAGACGGCGCCTCCTAGGTGAGGAAGGCAGGCGCGGAGGCGGCTGGATGGCGTGGGTTGCCAACACTGCGGTGGCGTCTCGCAGGGTCGCCAGTGTAGGACTTGTTGGGCTGCTGCTCAGACGTGCTCGGGCGTTGGCCTTGGCTGTCAGTGTGTGGTTGCATGTGCGTGTGTGTAGAACCATCTAGCAAGGAAACACGAAGGAAGCGAGCGAGCGTTGAACTGTCAAATCTCGGACTTCAAGGGCGGCGCTCCCAGCAGACAAGGAAACCTGCGACGTCTACGCAGGGAAAGAGTACCTATATCCTGAGTGGCTGTACTCGGTCAATACCCGACAGGCGCTAGTGCCCCTTATATTGTGCCAACATGGTCAGGTAGTGGTGTCCCCGGGTTTTTAGGCACGTGCGCATATGTTTGCATATGGCACGCATTTATGTGCTTTGATTAATTTTATTTCAGAGAAGTTTAAGTTGTTCTTAGCTGAAAATGAAAACATTTACATTTTCGTAATCTATTACGAAAATGACTTTTATTTTTTATCTTACAAGTTAGATTAGAATGCATGTATTTGTTCGCTGTGGCTTCTAGAATCAAGTTGTCTCCAAAGGCTGGCGTGTATCTTGATCTGACACCGCGTTGCCACATAACGGCTAGCTAGAGCACTTTTATAAAAGCCATGATTGGTTTCTCCAAAGAACATATATCAAAGTTTAACATTGCCACAGACAGTTATTCAGGTAGTGATGTGTCAGAATAGAGGTTGAGTTTAAGATATAATTAAAGTAGCGACAAGGATGATTGGGAGTTGGGGTAGCGATAAGGAGGGGGGGAGTGGGTCGAGGTAACGGTAAAGTTGGGAGGGAAGTTGTGGTAGCGGTAAGGATGAGGAAGGAGTAGATTGTGGTAGTAATAAGGGAGAGATAGGGAGAGAGTGGGGAGGGGGGGGGGTTGGCGTGGAGAAAAGGTTGGGAGGAAGGAATGCTCAGCTGCGATGGAGCGGTGATCACCTTAATTTAATCCATTTGTTTTCTATCACGACAAGTGAAGCGATAAAAGCTCGGTTATTGAATGTGACATATTGCAGTTGCTCACGGTTACCTGTCTGAATTGTTTTCCTGTGAATCCTGGCGACTCGACAACGTACGAGAGGTCTCATGGAGAACAAGGATTACACGGATGTGTAATCGACTCCTCTTTGGCGCCAAGGAAGTCCTTATATGCCAAGATTTGCCTCCCGCAGCCACCAGCATATCCTGAAGCCCTAGATTTAAAATGTATTATTTAAGGGTGAACCTCCTCACCCTCTCTTCGCCCTCCACCCCTCTCATGGCAGCGTTCGAACTCGGCCAAGAACTCTATCCTCAGTTTATTTCCTTCCTCTCTTATCGACTTTTTCGTTCACAAAGTTAAGTGTGCGGGGAAGAAATCGGTGGCAGGTTTAAACAGAATGCGACTCGTCATCAGGTTGCGGGTAAGTAAGACCGGTATATCGGCTTCTCTTACCCGCCCTCCGTGACCTGTAGGTGCTGGTTCTTTCGGCTGTTAAAGTTTCTGTGGCACTTGACCTTTTTTTGTTTACTGTGAAGCAAGTATCGGTATTCATGTTTGTTCACATGCGCGCGACACAAGCGCACACGCACACGCACACGCACACAATAACACGCACACACAGTAACACACACACCCGCACACACAGTAACACACACACCCGCACACACAGTAAAACACACACACCCGCACACACAGTAAAACACCACACACCCGCACACACAGTAAAACACACACACCCGCACACACAGTAAAAACACACACACCCGCACACACAGTAAAACACACACACCCGCACACACAGTAACACACACACCCGCACACACAGTAACACACACCCGCACACACAGTAACACACACACCCGCACACACACTAACACACACACACCCGCACACACACTAACACACACACACCCGCACACACACTAACACACACACCCCGCACACACTAACACACACACACCCGCACACACACTAACACACACACACCCGCACACACACTAACACACACACACACACCCGCGCACACACTAACACACACACACCCGCACACACACTAACACACACACACCCGCACACACAGACACACACACTAACACACACACACACCCGCACACACACACACCCCCGCACACACACTACACACACACACACACTAACACACACACACACACCCGCACACACACACACACCCGCACACACACACACACCCGCACACACCCCCCCCGCACACACCCCCCCCGCAACACACACACACCCGCACACACACACCCGCACCACACACACCACACACACCCGCACACACACACACCCGCACACACACTAACACACACACACACCCGCACACACACTAACACACACACACACACCCGCACACACACTAACACACACACACACCCCCGCACACACACTAACACACACACACACCCGCACACACACACACACACCCGCACACACACACACACACCCGCACACACACACACACACCCGCACACACACACACACACACACACACCCGCACACACACACACACACCCGCACACACAACCCGCACACACACACACCCGCACACACACACACCCGCACACAATAACACACACACCACCCGCACACACCAACGCACACACACACACCCGCACACACCAACGCACACACCCGCACACACCACACATCCGCACACACCAACACACACCAACGCACACACCAACACACATCCGCACACACCAACGCACATATCCGCACACACCACGCACAGCACACACAACGCACACACCAACGCACACATCCGCACACACCAACGCACACATCCGCACACAACACCAACACCACCAACACACACCAACACACACCAACGCACACACCAACGCACACACCAACGCACACACCAACACACACCAACGCACGCACCAACACACACACCAACACACACCAACGCACACACCACCACACACACCACGCACACACCACACACACCAACGCACACACCAACACACACCAACGCACACCACCAACACACACCAACGCAACACAACCAACACACACCACGCACACAACAACACACCAACGCACACACAACACACACCAACCACACACCAACACACCACCAACGCACACACCAACGCACACCAACGCACACACCAACCACACACCAACACACACCAACACACACCAACACACACCAACGCGCACACCAACACACACCAACACACACACCAACACACACCAACGCACACTTCCGCACACACCAACGCACACTTCCGCACACACCAACGCACACATCCGCACACACCAACGCACACATCCGCACACACCAACGCACACATCCGCACACACCAACGCACACATCCGCACACACCAACGCACACATCCGCACACCAACCAACGCACACACCAACGCACACATCCGCAAACACACAACGCACACATCCGCACACACCAACGCACACATCCGCACACACCAACGCACACATCGCCACACACCAACGCACACATCCGCACACATCCGCACACATCCGCACACATCCGCACACACCAACGCACACATCCGCACACACCAACGCACACATCCGCACACACCAACGCACACATCCGCACACACCAACGCACACACCAACGCACACATCCGCACACACCAACGCACACATCCGCACACACCAACGCACACATCCGCACACACCTCTCATGGCAGCGTTCGAACTCGGCCAAGAACTCTATCCTCAGTTTATTTCCTTCCTCTCTTATCGACTTTTTCGTTCACAAAGTTAAGTGTGCGGGAAAAATCGGTGGCAGGTTTAAACAGAATGCGACTCGTCATCAGGTTGCGGGTAATAAGACCGGTATATCGGGCTTCTCTTACCCGCCCTCCGTGACCTGTAGGTGCTGGTTCTTTCGGCTGTTAAAGTTTCTGTGGCACTTGACCTTTTTTTGTTTACTGTGAAGCAAGTATCGGTATTCATGTTTGTTCACATGCGCGCGACACAAGCGCACACGCACACGCACACGCACACAATAACACGCACACACAGTAACACACACACCCGCACACATAGTAAAACACACACACCCGCACACACAGTAAAACACACACACCCGCACACACAGTAAACACACACACCCGCACACACAGTAAAACACACACACCCGCACACACAGTAAAACACACACACCCGCACACACAGTAAAACACACACACCCGCACACACAGTAACACACACACCCGCACACACAGTAACACACACACCCGCACACACAGTAACACACACACCCGCACACACAGTAACACACACACACCCGCACACACAGTAACACACACACACCCGCACACACAGTAACACCACACACCCGCACACACACATAACACACACAACCCGCACACACACTAACACACACACACCCGCACACACAGTAACACACACACAACACACACACCACACCCGCACACACACACACCCCGCACACACATAACACACACACACACACCCGCACACACACACACACACCCGCACACACACACACCACGCACACACACCCCCCCGCACACACCCCCGCACACACACACCCGCACACACACACACCCGCACACACACACACCCGCACACACACACACCCGCACACACACCCCGCACACACACACACCGACACACACACACCCGCACACATACACACCCGCACACACACACACCCGCACACACACACACCCGCACACACCACACACCCGCAACACACACACACCCGCACACACAACACCCGCACACACACACACCCGCACACACACTAACACACACACACACCCGCACAACACTAACACACACACACACACACCCGCACACACACTAACACACACACACACCCGCCACACACACTAACACACACACACACCCGCACACACACTAACACACACACACAACACCCGCACACACACACACCCCGCACACACACACACCCGCACACACACACACCCGCACACAATAACACACACACACACCCGCACACACCAACGCACACACACACACCCGCACACACCAACACACATCCGCACACACCAACGCACACACCAACACACATCCGCACACACCAACACACACCAACGCACATATCCGCACACACCAACGCACACATCCGCACACACCAACGCACACATCGCACACACCAACGCACACATCCGCACACACCAACGCAACATCCGCACACACCAACGCACACATCCGCACACACACCACCAACACACACACACACACCAACACACACAACACACACACACACACCAACGCACGCACCAACACACACACCAACACACACCAACGACACCACCACACACAACACACAC